GTCCTCAGCTGACCAATCGTCATCCAAGATTTCATGTTGAAAAATTGTGTAGGCCTATATGTCAGTTTGGTAACTAAAAAAAAGTGTTAACCTCTGCTCTAACTTGTCTACTAATCTAGTTTTCTTTTTTTAAACTAAACTTGGCATTGTATACTGTGTTTTGTTGGCTCTAGGACAAATTATTTCATTTGTAAGTCGCTTGTGGTAAAAGTGTCTGCTAAATGAATAAATGTGAATTGAGACTTGTGGGTTCACTTAGAAGGAATACAGAATTGATCAATCAAACCTGGTGTGAAAACACGCAAATTCATTGGACATTAGAAATGCATAGTACAGTATAAAGGGTGTGGATTTCTGTTGCATGAATGCTGATATGAATAAAATGAATCCAGGCATATGCTGCAATTCCACGTGCCAACCTAGTTTCTTCCCTCAACCCAATTTAAGTGCTAATTCAGAGCCCAGTCAGTGAGAACCTGGCAGACCGACTATACAGCATAGCCAGTCAGACGCATTAGCACGTATTTGCCTGCGTTGCATCAAAAGCATTTGTATTGTAGCTCTCTCCAACATTATTACAAATCAGCCTGGCTGTACGCCCAAGTTAAGATGACAAGGGCTTCCATTTAGGAGCCTATTTGCATCTCCACCCTGCTGAACGATACTACAAAATGTTTATTTATCTGCATTTGTTTCCATCGCCGCATCTCTTCCTTTCACCTGTCATCGCAGCTCGAGTTTGTACAGCACATAAATCTCGAAATGTTCCTCTAATTTTTAAACCTTTCCTCAGAAACCTCTTGCAGTTATACCTTAGGAAGGTTCCTAATTGTAGTGCTTTGTAATAATTGACAGTGTTGTTTCTGCAGTACCATAAAGAGAGGAAGTGAGAGGCAGCAGCTGTTTCTGGGTAGGCCAGGGCTTGTCACTCATGTCTGCATATCTCAGGGCTTTCGGACGCCATTCCTCGGCACCCCGTCTGAAGTCAATCATATCAGTCAGCACCCTGTTCTCCTCTCTGGCACAGGTATATGTCAGCAAACAACAAAGTCAGAAGACAGATGAAGAAGGGTCTTTTGGAACTTCCTGTCTCTCATTGTTTTTGATTCTGTCCTCTTTCCTTTCATCTGTTAGTTTATCTGTGATGCAACTTCCTTTTTATTTCCCCAGATGAACCTTTTGGTGCTGAGAGGTTGTGCTTTCATAACTTAGGAGACATAATGGAGTTCTCATTTGTTTTTCTTTGAAGAATCAGCTTTGTCTAAGATTATTTCTAGAAATAGACACAAATAAGAAAATTGTTACAGAATAGTATAGAACTATAAAATTAATATGGATGGCAAGCTTAGATAATTTGGTCTAAAAAGAGTTTGCTGAGAAATATTTGAGGTGGTATTGAAACTAGGGATGTCCCGATCAGGTTTTTTGTGCCCCTGATGATCCGATCTGAGTCATGTAATATCGAGTATCTGCCGATACCGAGTCCCAATCCGATACTTGTATATTCCTATATAGGAATGCATGTTTGGTGCGCACTTAAAGTACTTTAAAGTTATTAAAATCAATTAAATGCTTACAGAGTTGTGCAGAGAGTAAAATAAATATATGTATGATGCATGTTTATATATATATATATATATATATATATATATTACAAGATACACACTCTCTCTCTCTCTCTCTATGTATATATGCACACTGTATACAAACATTGGTAGATGCAAACATGTTACAATGGTAGACAATGTAAAGAGACTTTGTGATCACAATTATGAATATGTGACTACTGATATAAACTTGCATTTTATATGTACAGTGGCATGCAAAAGTTTGGGAACCCCATGCAGAATCTGTGAAAATGTGAATTTTAACAAAATAAGAGAGATCATACAAAATGCATGTTATTTTTTATTTAGTGCTGTCCTGAGTAAGATTTTACATAAAAGATGTTTACATATAGTCCACAAGAAATAAATAGATACAATTATTAAAATAATCCCATTCAAAAGTTTGGGAAACCTTGGTTCTTAATACTGTGTGTGGTTACCTGGATGATCCACGACTGTTTTTTTTTGTTTTGTGATGGTTGTTCATGAGTTCCTTGTGTTCTGAACAGTTAAACTGAGCACTGTTTTTCAGAAAAATCCTCCGGGTCCTGCAGATTCTTCAGTTTTCCAGCATCTTTTGCATATTTGAACCCTTTCCAGCAGTGACTGTATGATTTTGAGATCCATCTTTTTACACTGAGGACAATTGAGGGACTCAAACACAACTATTCAAAAAGGTTTAAACATTCACTGATGCTCCAGATGGAAACACGATGCATAAAGAGCCTCGTGATAAATAAAGACAACTTTTGAACAGGATGAAGACGCAACCCATAGCAATGCGTTACGACAACGACGTCTCAAAGTCTGACGGCAGATAAAACGATAAATGAATGAGTGATCATTACAAAAGTGCACATCAAATACACTGAACACGGAAGCTCAGACGCGAACAGACCTTACTCACGAGGCACACATGCACATTTTAGCGTCTTCTTTTTCAATGGCGGTGGACAAACCCACTTAAAGGCGCATACCGCCTCCTACTGCACGTCACCGGCATGACAGCTGACGTAAAATAACTATCGGGCTTAAGAGAGCCGATACCGATCCTTGAGATCGGCTCGGGACATCCCTAATTGAAACTGTGATGTTTGAGTGCAGACTTTGGTATCTTAGAAACTTTGACCACAGTTTGTTACATTTGTTATCTTTTCTGAAACTCTAGAGGGGAATTGCTTGAGATTATTATGGAGTTCTCATTTATGTCTCACTGAAGTAAGTAAAATGTGTATTGCATAGCATAGAATATTGAAAGAAGTATTTCAAGAGTTCATATTAAGTTTCTGATATTGTTGAGATCTCGTGTAACTCCAGATGAGATTATTAGGGTCTTTAAAATAGGTCCTTTTGCTCAGAGGTTGCTTTTTTTCATAGCCTTAGACGTCATAAGGCATAAGAGTCTCATTTATGGCTCATTGAGCTATCAGCTTTGTTTCAAACATTTCTCCTAAAAATGTTTTGGACGAATAGATATAGCTAAAGTTTTGAGACGGTTGTTGACAAAGGTTGAGTATATAGCTACATATAAAATTATCTACAATTTATTGTGGAATACACTCAGACGATTGGTATTGTAATATTTAGTGAGAAATGTTTAAGTTCTTATTGAAACAAATTTAAATATCATTTTTGAGATTGTGAAGATCCTTCTATGGCTCTTCTAAGGAGATAGATGTGAGATTACTAAGATCTTTTTTTTCTGGAGTAAAATATGAGAAACAGTTGACTGTACACTGAAAAAATGGTATAGTATTTTCTTTGAAACCGTTTTCCCTCAGAATTTGCTAGTAAAAAAAAAAAAAAATTAAACAAAATATAGTAAACAAATATTACAAAAACGACAAGTAATATTGAATTAAATATGAAACTTAAATAGACTGAAATAGTACTTGTAAAATGGGCTCCAATAATCTGTGGTTTAATTACAATTTAAAAAAATTTTTTTTTTTTTTTACAATGTAGCAGAAGCCTCCATTTTTTCTCCATTGAGCAACAATTGAGATCAGTTGTGATTTTACTTGTGCATACCTAATGGTAGTATGCTTTTGTATCTTTGGTTTGTCTGAGCTACAGCTGTAGAGGTTTTTATTAGCTTTTCTGATAGCACAGTAAATGTAGATTCTAATGGATATTTTTTTTTTTTCATAATAGCTCTGACATAATGCAGTCTCCCTCACCTGTTCCTCTTTATCATATTAAATCATTTGTATAAAAAAAAAATTTAATTTTAGTGAAATGAAATCAGTACAAGTCTGCAAATATTGTCTGATTCACAAAGTGGTTAGATTGGTTACTGTGGCTCTGGTTCAGACCACCCAGAGATTTCGTAATGCATCCCGCAAATGTGCGAGTCTTTGATAGATATTAGTTGGTACAGGAGGCAATAAATGAGTTGACCTTTTCGGACGGCAATTTAGAGTCTGAGCTTTGTTACAGGACAGAGGGGAGTAGAAACACTGTAGCTCACGCTATGCTGATGAACTCACATGCATGGTAATGAATTGCAGTTCCATTATGCAAATACTATGCTAATTATCTAATCAGATTTGATTCCATTAAGGATGTACCCAGCTTCCTAACCTTGAGAAGGCAGGGACTGATCTCTCTGCAAATATTGTCTGATTCACAAAGTGGTTAGATTGGTTACTGTGGCTCTGGTTCAGACCACCCAGAGATTTCGTAATGCATCCCGCAAATGTGCGAGTCTTTGATAGATATTAGTTGGTACAGGAGGCAATAAATGAGTTGACCTTTTCGGACGGCAATTTAGAGTCTGAGCTTTGTTACAGGACAGAGGGGAGTAGAAACACTGTAGCTCACGCTATGCTGATGAACTCACATGCATGGTAATGAATTGCAGTTCCATTATGCAAATACTATGCTAATTATCTAATCAGATTTGATTCCATTAAGGATGTACCCAGCTTCCTAACCTTGATCTCTTCTCTTCTCTTCTCTTCTCTTCTCTTCTCTTCTCTTCCCTTCCCTTCCCTTCCCTTCCCTTCCCTTCTCATTTATTTTCTTTATTTTTCTATCGTTTTCAAACCTTTTCTCTTTTTTTACTGCATTTTATATTATTTTTCTTATCCCTTTTCCTACCTTTTATTTTATTTCATTTTATTTTTTCTTTCATTTGTTTTAATTCTTTTCTACTTTTTCCTGTCTATTTCAGACTTCTTTTAATTGCTTTTACGTTTCTGTTTCAAACTGAACTGAACCTTTCCAAACCAAACTGAACTAACATCTCTGACTGCTTAAAGGTTTAGGAATTTGAAACGAAGAGTCCTGTTGTGATTTTTATTTATTTATTTTTTTCATATTTACACCTCACTCGCTGTAGTACAAAAGGCTTTGCCAGCCTATTGCTCTGATTGGGGTGTTTTTATGGCACCGTTCAGTATTATTTCTCCGTTACCACACGTCTGAAGGCAGGTCTGCCCGACAGTGAGGTGACACATGTGTGTGAGCGCTAGATAATGAAATCTTTATCACATATTTGGGAGGCCTGTAATTCCATTTGCTCTACTAATCCTTCAGTCACTCTGTCTCTCTGTCACTCACTGAACAAACCTGTCTAACCAGAATTCCCCTTCCATTCATCTACAGTTTACACTCTTTTTAATGGCACCAGTGTAATGAGCCTAAATAAGCCTACTTTCAAAATAGACCCTAATTACTTTCGTAATAAAAGTAGGTTACAAATGTTGTCTCTAAGCAAATATGTTTTTGAAGGAGAGATGAAGCATGAGTCCTCTGTTCGGTAAGAATATTTAAGGAAACATGCCAGTCTGATGTTACTTGCAGAGTTGTGTTTTGTATTTCATGTTGTCCATAATTTGTATAGTTTTTTTTTTTTTTTTGATGCCATGCACTGTAGACTCCTCGGGTCTCATCAGTGCTGGAGGAGCTCTTAGGAAAGCCTGATTGAGCCACCTTGCTGACTGTCTGCTGCTCAGAGAGCGATGGCCTCTCTTGTGTAATCAGGACCAGCCACACAGGGCGTCCTTTAACAAAATAGCCTCATCACCTCCCCCTCTCCATACGCTGTAACCGAGACAACAGAACTCCTCACCATCCCCCTCCCCACGGCACTCTATTTCCAAATCCCAAAGGCTCTTTTCAGCGTAACACCGAAAAAACATCAATCACACCCGATACGCACACATGTACACTAGGGTTTGGTATCGTTTGGGATTTTTTCGATACCGGTGCCAAATCGATACTTTTAAAACGGTTCCGGTGCCTAAACGGTGCCTGAACCGATACTTTAAAAAATAAATAAATAAAAATTCTCCAAAAAATTATGGATTGGCCATTAGCACTATAAACACACGATGTCTGTTTCATTCATACTGGACGCCAGAGGGCGCCCTCGCACAGAAAATTCACATATCCAGTCACAGAAGAAGCAGAACTCATGACCCTCCAGGAAATCCCTTATATGGACAAAGGCATGGCTATTATAGCTGTAACTGAGTAAACATAACATATAAACGTTTTGAATGATAAAACAAAGACAATAAACACTCGACTGCGACAATATAGTTTATCTGTGTTATTCAAGCCATCTCTGGTATTTTCATAATAATTAAGTATATTTATAATCCAATGCTAATCGATGTATTCTTTTTAAAGTAGCCTATGGAACATATTTTCTGCCTCATTCTGTGACAAGAAACCACATCAGATCACAAAAGGAAGCATTTGACTGGTGTTGTGGAGTAAAAAGGTTATAATGTTCTCTTTTGTTGGACAACAGGTTGAGAAATGTGAATACAAGGGAGTTTAGCTTTAGGCATTTTAATTTAAGCATGTTTAGCTTAGTTAACGGAAGGCTACCTGCTGCCGTCAGAGCAAGTGTAATTACGGCATTCATGCGCTCCTCGGATGCTCTCATTTCCCGAGTAGTGCTTTTAAGTCGGAATGTGAAAACAACATGGACACTCTCGTTACTACAAAGAT